GGGATTTAGATGCATGCAAAATATAATCATAATGTAGGCCTACTTTTCTCTGGAGCAGAAAATCTGAACTCCGGCTCCTGATTGAACACTCACCTGGGGAACACGGAGTAATCTACACAACCTGACATTTAAATATGTGTTTTAATCTGCGCTGTATATTGTGAAACCAGATAAACGCTGTCTGCTTATTCTGCACATATTATACCAAGTTTCACTGAGTGTGGTAAATAAATTAATTAATATCAGAAACTCTTTCCAGACTGTAACTAAACTATTCAGACTGCCGTTTCAAGCAGCCATATTTACGCCCCTGTGACGTTTCACCTTCGATCATAGCGCTGTGTGTGTGTGTGTGTGTGTGTGTGTGTGTGTGTGTGTGTGTGTGTGTGTGTGTGTGTGTGTGTGTGAAGCTGTCGCTGTGTCGTGCTCTCACAGCGCAGAAATGAAATATGAATCGACAGAGAGGGACACCGATACTACGCCTGCGCAGAATCAATATGAAAGTACAAAGACGTGATGACAGCCGAGCTTAATACAGAACTTGTGCTTCCGCTCTTTACTTATTTTCATCACCTGCTGTCTTCTTCTTCTTCTTCTTCTTCTTCTTCTTCTTCTTCTTCTTCTTCTTCTTTACCCCGCTGTTGATTTCTTCTTTTATAACTGTGACGTGGTGAGTCATGCTTTTAGTTTAATCTGTTAAAATCCCCGATTTAAAAAATACAGATCTATGTTTGGCACCAGCGATTCAAAGACATGTATTCCATGAGTCAGGAAAACAATATGTTGCTGTATAGATGTTTTGTCCCACCGCTTCACAATACGTTGTTGGACTGTTTACATTTTTTACAAACGGAATTCATTTCCAGAGCAGAGATAATGTCCAATTTCGTGCTCGTCCATTTTTAAAACACAGGCAATATTTGGCTCTTTTTGTTTGATGAATGAAAAACTTAAAACCGAATGATCATCTCATTCAACCATGGGCGGTTCTAGGCAGGGGCCAACAGGGGCCAGTGTTCCTGTAACACTGATCTTGGACCCCCCCTGTGGCCACCCCTCCAAAAGGAAGAGCCCCCCTCAAAACACACACACAGTGACTCAACAACCGGACTCACAATCTAGTATTAAATTCTGTTTCTGAAACAAATATAAATCATGGTATTTAATGATGCGTGCTATTATTTGGCATAATATATATATATTTTTATGACCAACATTTTTATTGTTTTCAAATGTTTTACAACAGAACAATACCAGACAATAAATGATATAGAACAATACCCAACAAGGGAAACACTATCAGTGCAAGATAAAAAAAAACAAACAGACCTGACAAACAAAAATGATAATTTAGTTAAATTAAATACAGGAATAAAGCAGGACGATTGAAATATATGTAAATAAATAAAAAGGAAAAAAATAAAAATAACAAAATCCCACAACATGATTATTTCAGATTAGGCTGCATGGAAGTGTTAAGTTGTCCACCTTTTACACAAAATTGTGTTTTCATAAGATTTACAGGGGGCTGTTATATATATATATTAAAGCGATCATCTTTGTCTATTTTTCACCTGGGTTTAATGTTCCTCTCTGACAAAACAACTGGCCCCCGTTTGGCCCCCTCAGTAAAAGTGGTCTAGAACCGCCACTGAATTCAACCACTGAACATTTCAGACTGATCCAGAGAGGAAACATCATCAGCTTTTTGTTTCTGCAGGTTCACAGATTAAAATGAGATTTTCTGTCCTCTTTCAGGAGCTTTTCCTCCGAGACTTGAACCCAGAAAGGAGCGTCATCCTCGTGCAGGCGGGAGCAGCGACTCTGAGGAGGACGAGGACGAGGTGGAGGAGGGAGGGGCTTCATGTTCAGTGAAGTCAAAAGCAAAACGCCGTCGTATCCGCACCGCCTTCACGCTGCAGCAGCTGCAGGTCCTCGAACGCAGCTTCCACAGGTGTCACTACCTGTCGGTGCTGGAGCGGCACGCCATCGCCTCGGCGCTGCGCCTCTCAGAGACTCAGGTGAAGATCTGGTTCCAGAACAGACGCACAAAGTGGAAGAAGGAGCGGCTGCAGGGGGCGGAGCCTGAGGAGGAGCAGAGCTTCTTCTCTCCTCCTCCTCGTCTGTGCTCCTCGCTCACCTTCAGTCCTCTCTTCTGCCAGCAGCGCGCTCCGCTCCACGTGTTCACGCCTCTGCCCATGCTGCCGTATCAGCGTTTTTACTCATGATGCAGAATGACTGTAAACATAGTGGACCAACGTGTGACACTGTGACCATCAGAGAAGATGCTTCAGAGACAAACAGGACTGAGATCTAAAACAGAAAATATTTTCTTATGTAATAATTTATTTTGATAAACGTTTTTTTTAATGAAGACGTTCATGTTTGTTCTTTAATATATTGACCTTATGTCCACTTTACCCGAGGCAACCGCACGTCTCTTTAAACTTCAGAGACAGAAAACAGCTCAGAAACATTTTAATAATAAGCTGCTGAAAGCATGAACAAACTGAATCTGTGAAGGAACATCACTAATGCAATGAATAAAGTTTGATTTTTATACTTCTGCTTTGTGATTTTTAAAGTTCACCTATTATGCAAAACACACTCTCTATCTTTTTAGTCCTCTAAATCAGGTCTTTTAAGTCTTTTAAAAAGAAATAAACCTCAAATAAATTATTAGAAAGTAGAAGATCTTAAGACAAAATACATTATAAATATGTGATATGATGCTTTATACCGTCATGTCAATAATGCAGACGCTGGGATCCTTAAATAATATTTGAAATGAGAGGAGAGAGTGGAGATGAAATAAATGTGTCTCTAAGTTTTGCACAGTCAAAAAGTGATCTAATGAGTCATGTTTGAACAGCTGAAAATGTCCATGATGAATACAGTTTGGGCTGAAGCTGCTGAAGGGCTGATAAAAAAAAACGACGATATAACGACCTTGTTGGATGTTACTGTGGTCTACATCAGAGGCAGACTGTTTTATGTCACACACACACACACACACACACACACACACACACACACACACACACACGGTTTTGATCCTTGAAGAATTTTCTGAATAAAATAAAAAAATCTGTATTTGCCAAAAGGCAAACTGAAAGTAGGAGAGGGTAAACGACAGACATAAAGAAATGAAGGACCTGTAGCTATGCAATAACGAGACCTGTTAAGCGCCTCCTCCAAGTTCTCCCACTTTTCAAAAGCATCACCATGACAACTGGATTTCACAGAGGACGTCACACCTACTGGGAGCTAGGTGTAAGACTTCAGGTGTAGATTCTGTCTACACTAGAACTACCATCAACTCCGGCTTCAATTAGAAATTAGGTTCAAATTAGATGTTGAAAAATGAAGTCAATGCAAACCTGCAGTTCCTGGAGTGTCCACTAGAGGCTGGCTGCAGAAGCACAGGAAGTCACATACACACCCATTCTAAAAAGCCTGTTTTTACAGCAGAGATGAACATGTTTACAGCCTGGTTCAAAAAACAAATAGGTGTGATTAGCTCATGTCTGGATGGACACACACTGTACGGGGGGTGAATGTTTTGATGACTCATCAGTTTTGATTTGATGAAGGATAAGAGTCAGTACGTTAGCAGTATGGTAGGTGGTTTCAAAAACAGCCCGTGACTTCGGTTTTTAGAAATGTGAAATGTCAGAAGGTGATGTGCACGCTACTCATGAGTCATCATGTCCAACAGCTGTGTCGCGTCGGCCGGGTACCAGATCCGAAAAAAAACTGTTCAGTCGTTGAACACTCCTGTTGGTTGATCTTTGATCGACATCATCAGCTGTGTGTGATCGTGCACTCTGAGGAAAACGTTTCATTTGTTTCCATTAGAGGTCGACTCAGATAGGCGTGTGTGTGTGTGTGTGTGTGTGTGTGTGTGTGTGTGTGTGTGTGTGTGTGCGTGTCTGTGCGTGTGCGTGTGTGTGTGTGTGTGTGTGTGTGTGTGTGTGTGTGTGTGTGTGTGTGTGTGACTGTGTGTGCGTGTCTGTGCGTGTCTGTGCGTGTGCGTGTGTGTGTGTGTGTGTGTGTGTGTGTGTGTGTTTGTGTGTGTGTGACTGTGTGTGCGTGTCTGTGTGTGCGTGTGTGTGTGTGTGTGTGTGTGTGTGTGTGTGTGTAACAATTGCCTCCTCGACATCTTCTTTATTTTCATTTCTCCATCTGTTTCCAATACATCAATGATGGAGGTTTGTTTGAAATCTGTTTTACTTTAACATGCCCGAAGGAAGAAGAAAAAACCATTGAAGTGATGTGTCATCTCCTTAAAATGTTCTGATGATCTGAAGACGTATTTCTAGGATCTGAAAAACATCAGAACGTGTAGCACCTGTTTACAGTCGATGTTGAATCAATCATGTTGTTGTTTCTGAAAACTTAAACGTCTCTGATCGTCTCATTGGATGTAACAGGCGGACATGTTCAGAGATCAGAGACCCCGACATATGAGGATACGAGCGAGTGCTTAAATACATCCAGATGTGCTCAGGCGTGTGTGGGAGGGTGTAAGAAGGACTATTGTAGATATTTTCTGTGAGTCTTTAAAGTCTTTATATGCGATTTTTCACACTTAAATATAAATCAAGTATCTCCTCTGAAAATAACTCTGTGAGTCATGACTGTCTACAATGGGTGTAACACCCGAGTCCCACTGTCTGTGATGTTTTCAGAGTTTTCAGAGTCCTATCTTCACTTTGTTTACATCGCCAGGACGGCCGGCTGACTCCTCCCCTCGTGTATAAAAGTTGTTTAATTGAGGGACTAGAGAAAAGAAGAATAACATACTGTACTCACTGCTTAACTGTGTTTCTAGATCACGCTCATTTCAGGTAAATTTACATGCAGTGTGAAGATACCAGCATAATAAAGATCGCTAGCATTAGCATGCTAACACAACAATGCAGCGTGAGTTGTTTTGGCTTCATGCTGGAGCTCAAGGGCGACATCTGCTGGATCAAAAAATCACATATAAAGCCTTTAAAATACTTTTGGACAAATTGAGTTAAACTTGATAAATGTTGGGACATCTACTGGAAACCATCTGTTTCACAGCAGAGAGCTTTAACGGGAACCGTGGTATTACTCAGATCTTTGGTGTGAACAGACAATATGTGCATGAAGAAGTCGTTTTAGAAAATGAATATGCACGTCTGTTTTAGATAAACTCGTTTTGTTTCTATGCTAACGCAGCAGCGGTAGGGATGGAAATTGGAAAGGATGGATGTCTGTTTGACTATCAGGCGATCGATCCCTTTGGTCCAGAGCTAAATAATTTAAATAAACAATTGTCGCATTGGGATGAGGATTGGTACAGACTTTTTTGGTGACCAGAGGATGAACACTAACCACTTTGGTGACCCTGTTACTTTATCTTTCGTGCCACCAGCAGGTCAAATATTGTACTACATCTGTGAAATCTCCAATTGGCTTTGTCTCAAGTTTTTGCAGAAATGTCCCAGAGGATGAATCCTGCTCTCTTTTGTGTTTGCTTTAGTTGAATATCTCTGCTGTTATCAGCTGGATTAGCATTGAAAGTGGTTCAGAACTCATCTGTGTTTCCCAAAGGATGACAACAAATGAGGCTCTTACAGCGTTCTTAACCTTCAATGAATTCTTCTAAGTATTTCAATTGATCACATGTAAAGACCATGGGCGGGTTTTACCACCACAGAACCTCTAAGAAGGGTTTCAGGGGCAGCTGATGTGTTCCAGTTGATCTCGTAAGTGGGAAATTCCCAGTTCCCAGTCGGAAGTGTCAACTGGAACGCCCCCTGAAGTCGTGATTACGACTCGGAAACTCAGAGATAAAAAAGTAGCCCGAGTTCAGATCCAATATGCCTGCCAGTTCCATTAGAGGAGTCCAGTTCTATTAGAGGAGTCCAGTTCTATTAGAGGAGTCCAGGTCCATTAGAGGAGTCCAGGTCCATTAGAGGAGTCCAGTTCTATTAGAGGAGTCCAGGTCCATTAGAGGAGTCCAGGTCCATTAGAGGAGTCCAGTTCTATTAGAGGAGTCCAGGTCCATTATAGGAGTCCAGTTCTATTAGAGGAGTCCAGGTCCATTAGAGGAGTCCAGTTCTATTAGAGGAGTCCAGGTCCATTAGAGGAGTCCAGGTCCATTAGAGGAGTCCAGGTCCATTAGAGAGGTCCAGTTCTATTAGAGGAGTCCAGGTCCATTAGAGGAGTCCAGGTCCATTATAGGAGTCCAGGTCCATTAGAGGAGTCCAGTTCTATTAGAGGAGTCCAGGTCCATTAGAGGAGTCTAGGTCCATTAGAGGAGTCCAGGTCCATTAGAGGAGTCCAGGTCTATTAGAGGAGTCCAGTTCCATTAGAGGAGTCCAGCAGGTGAATGTTTTTCTGTTGGGAAGATCCGATTCATTTTTCAGGGACAGAGATAAAACAGATAACTTATCGCTAAAATGCGAATAAACTTGACTTGCCTCAACCACAGGAAGTTCTGATTTGTGTATTTCAGCATTAAATGTCTTTAATTGTCTTCTTGTGTCTCAGTTGATCGTCTCCTGGAGCGAGATGACCGAGTGGAACAGATTGTCCCTCTGCTGACTTTCAAACATGACTCAGTTTGTTCTTAAGTATATAAAAACTTTAGTTTTAACATCTGTTGATGGTTTTCACGTCTGAGGTAATGCTTGGTGACCCAGCAGGGACCTGAGACGGCAATCGCAGCGTTATGCAACATGACTTCTTTATCTAGGTTATTGCATAACGTTATACCGGGACAGCTGAGTCCTGAGGAAAATGAGATTGTTTTTAAGCTTCGAGTGCATGTTTTACAGTTTTTCTTTGAGTGCACAAAACTGAATCGAGTTCGTCTGAGTCCAGGGGGAAAAAAACTCTCTTTAGTCGTGGCACGCTGACAGTCAGGATATTCTTCTTTGGAGATCTTATTTCTTTTGCTTGTAGACCAAACATCCAAACCCTCGGAGCCGTAACAATTACCCAACATGTTTGAGTTTGGGGGGGCACTAAGAAGGGCCACATGAGCCCTGTTTTACCGCAAAACTTTCCAAAGGGACCTTTTGAGGAATTACGGTATGAGCATTTCAACCAAAGGAACCAGGGTCTAAATTTAGTTCTGGGGTAAATGATCTACCCCTAAAGTAGATCCTGCTTGGAGGGTAGTACTTTCAAAAGGTCCAGGCACCTTGGGGTGCAGGGCCTGCAGGAAGACTGCAGCTGCATCAGACATTTCAGTTGTTTTGAATCCACTTTTCAAACAGTGCTCGTCCTCTTTCCCGGGTTGATTCAATCAATCCATTTGCAGCACAATCATAAACAGCTGAAGCTGAAACTCCTCGATGCTAACAGGGCTAGATGTAGTGTCGCACAAATGATGATGCCAGCCTGTCCGTCGCGTCATCTTTGTTGTTTCCTTTTCAACTTCTTCTTTCTGCCACCTACTGGACTGGCAGTGTAGTGCAGTTACTTTTATTGCTACTCCAAACGTCATTGTCCTGATTT